ATGGCCAGCGATGGCTACTGGTCATCCTTGGCATTCGATCTCAAGGCACCATCCCACGCGAGCGGTCTCCGGAGGTGGACAACGTGCGGACGTAAGCTGCAGCTGGGCCAAGCGGAGGCCAAGTGGAAGATATCGCGAGTGAGAAAGATACCTGCCCTGACGCCGCACATTTCGGCGGAGCGGCGGTTACTTGGAAAATGGAACACCAAGGGCACTTTAACCTGCGGAGAAGGGCCAGGGAGAGGAGCAGGAACCCAGGCCTTTGTAAAGAAGAAGGACGCACCCAACCCAGTGCTCATTCATAAATTCGACGCCAAGAGCCCACTCTAAGCCAAGCCTTAGTCCGACCCACCCTTGTCTTAGTCATGTACTCCGGCATGGACCGCTCGGATTGGCAGCAGCCAGCCTACCCAGAGCGAGCCTCGCCCCCGCCGCAATCCCAGCCGGGATGGTTTCCGCTGCAAGACACGCAACAGCGGCAACAGTCCCCCGTGGCACAACATTCTTCAAGTGGCTGGCTACAGGAGGCTTCCACCAGTCCCAGCCATGGCAACCGCGTCTACGTTTCTTCGCCAATATATTCTTCAACAGCGTCTCCCTACGTGTGGACAGGTGAGCCACACTCGCAGCCGCCACCAGCTCGGGCCGCTCAGTTACTGCCGTCTCCAACCTACCCACGGCCTCTCATGCTATCCGACTCGGAACTGTCTCAAGACCAAAAGACGGTTCTTCGCCGCAACAAGCAGATCGCCATCGGACGCTGGAACAGCGAGGAGCACCAGTGGTTCCTCAAGGGCCTCGAGATGTTCCAGGGTCCTGCGTGGGGCGAGATTGCCCGCCTCATCGGCACCCGCACATCAACCCAAGTGCGAACCCACGCTCAAAAGTTCTTCACCAAACTGGCCAGACTCAACCAGACTATGCCCTACTTCGAGGTGCAGATCCAGAAGGAACGAGCTCGACTTGTAGCCCAAGGCGCCAGTGTCACCCCCACCGCACAAAGCGCTTCACTAACCGCTACGCTTTCGCCTCGCAAGCGGCTGGCGTCGACCAGCAACAGTCCCAGACAGTCACTCAAGCGGTACAAGGAGGAGGTAGCGTCGTCGCCGACGTACACAGCTTCCGTCCAAGCCAGATACCCACAAGAAGCCTACGACGCAAAGGCCAGAGTGTACACTGGTGGGTACTCGTCCGCTGCGTCCGGATCACAGCAGTGGACATCGGATGACACCAGACAATGGTCAGTGGCCTCCCCAACGTCCACAGCTGCGTCGTTGCAGCTGACTCAAATGCAAATGGCGGACGTCGGACAACAAACTACTAATAGCCCTACTGCTGCGTGCGACGCCGAGTCGCTGCCATCCATGAACAAATTGCTGCACCGCAGCAACACTGCTGCCTCAAGTTGAAGTAAACGTCGTCATCGTCCGTAGCGTCCCGAGTGAGTGGAGATGTATACTACCTATCACCTGCCTATCATACCTCTAAGCCCACGACAAAATGGTTGAATCAATCCATTCCAGAGCAATTTCTGTAAAAACTCTAAAACTAAATCTAAAAGTGTAGCCATATCACTTCAAGGTCACATTTAATTGGTCGAAAATGGCTATTACGCCACGTCACACACTGCTTGACAGCGTTTCTTGACGAGCAACCGGGTCGACAATGCGACGTCGCCCGTCCAAGAAGGCTCATGTTCCTCGGCGCAATCGCGCGCGCCATGCTGTCGTGATGGTGCTGGGTGATGTGGGTCGCAGTCCGCGCATGCAATACCACGCACTATCGCTGGCCCGCATGTCCCCAAGCCAGCGTGTGACCCTCTTGGGCTACGCGGGTGAGAACTGCGTGCCCGATGTAGCTCGTCAGAGCAACATCGAGCTACTGACCTTCACTCCACACTTGCAACGCCTTCCGCGCAAACTGTTCCTCTTGCTGGCGCCCGTGAAGGTCTTGCTTCAACTGCTACAGTTGCTCTGGCTGCTGCTCGTCTCGGCCGGCAGCATTGACCTCGTTCTGCTGCAGAATCCGCCGACGTAAGTGTCGCGGCTTGCTCAAGTAAATCACTACCCTCGGTTAATTAATAGGATGATGGTCCTTGTGGGCCATTGTGGACGTTTTGCGCTGCAGAATCCCGACGTTCGTGGTGGTGTGGCTCTGCTGCCGACTAAAAGGCGCCAAGTTCGTGATCGACTGGCATAATCTGGGCTACAGTTTACTGGCGTTATCTCTTAGCAATGGACATCCATTGGTCAAGGTGAGATGGCGATGAGCTGCGGTTGAAATACTGAATTGCTGGGAGCTGATAGTGTGGGCTGTGAATAGATTGCCAAGTGGATCGAGCGCGTGTTCGGTCGCAAGGCTGATGCGAATTTGTGTGTCACGCGAGTGATGCAGACATGGCTGAGAGACACGTGGCAGATTGAAGCTACCGTGTTGCATGACAAGCCGCCGCTCTTCTTTAAACC